CATAATCGCGTATTTCTTTATTCAATTTCACAATTGCCGGTATAGTTCTGGTCTGTTGCCATTCGTATCTGGGGTGTAGTATGGGGTTTTTGATAACTTCAAATAAGAAATGAGATGGTTGTGCAAGTAACTTTACCGCATACCTAAGGTGTTGCTGCTTGAATCTCAAGTAAATGGGTAACGAATTATTTTCGACATTAAGGCTGTCTATTGGTGATGTGCGGTATGCCCCCGTTATTAATAGCATGGCTTTGTTCCACACCCCTCTATACTTTTAAGTTGGGATCTGGCCGCCGATGTGTCTGTTAAATTAGAAAAACAGTTGCGTATTTTAGGGATTAGTAAAATGATATTTAAAATTTAAAAAATGCCTAGATTCCAATTAGTTCCGAAGATATTCGAAAAAACCAAAATGAATTATTTTGACATTTTGTCAACGCCTTTCTACAGCACAATGGTAAAAATTGTTTATTATTTAAGGCAAAGAAAATACTAAATTTTTAACATTTTGGTGTAGTAAGCATGTCAAAATAATTCATTTATGGTTCCTGTAAATGACATACCTAATAAAGAATAATATTCCTTTTTACAGTCCATATCAAGAAATGAAGTTGATGATGGTTTTTCAAAGACGAAACGTCGCAGCGAAAATCTGTGAGCACTATCTTGTACAGCTTAAAAGGTTTCTACAAGGAAGTGTTGTTTGTTTTTTGGTATCTTTTCAAACGGCATCAGAAACGAAATTCTTGGATCAAAAAGCTTTAAACCTTCAACTTAATTTAGGAACATTTTCGGGGAAGGACCCCCGGTCCCCGCGTTTTCGTTGGGGGGAACCCCAAACCCCAGATGTGGAGGAGCGCAAATTTTAAGTGGCCCAGCTTCAGATTATAACTTCCAACGAGTAAAGAACTGTTTAAGAACAACGACTAGTGATGCAAGACTTTGCCCCTGATGTTGATGGTTGTGGAACATGAAGAAACTATAAACCTTAACCTCCGCCAACTTGTAAAAGATTTTGAGTCTCTGAAATCATATCATTACCCTATATTATATTATATTATATTGCTATTTGCAAATTGTTTATGTTTATATTATGGTAACAAAAACAAAAGCACATATTTATTAATCACTCTGTAATCGGACACAAGCCTGTTGAGGACCCAGAACAAGAGAGCGACAATAAATAATAATTAAAAGTATTAATGTACTGCAAAAATATGTTTTGCCGTTTCTGAAATACCAACAAAGGTTCAAGAAGGAGTAGGTATCTTGAAACTTAAAATTATGTACAGTAGGTATAGGCAGTCAAAACTTGCACGTAATATACCATAAGCCTGCATTGCTTAGCGCTGGACCCCCTAAACGTTAAGATGAAATGGCGCCCCTGATATCTGTTTAAGAGTCCCCTGCATGAGCTCTTTCATAGCATTTGGAAAGTTTCCAGGTATCCCTTAGTATACGCTCTTCTACACCCTTCTAGCACCAGGTACCACCACAGTGAAGATAACACCCCGCCCTACGGACATTCTCTAGTAACCGAGGAGCTCATCTCCG